ATGCACACGTACGTACACGCATGGGTTGGGGAGAAGCAGAGAGAGAGAGGGAGAGAGAGAGAATCCCAAGCGGGCTCCACACTGATGGTGTGCCCCTTTAAGATTTTATTTTTAACTAATCTCTACACCCAACATGGGGCTCGAACTTACAACCCTGAGATCAAGAGCTGCATGCTCGAGGCGCCTGGGTGGCTCAGTTGGTTAAGCATCCAGCCCTTGATCTTGGCTTAGTTCATGATCTCACAGTTCATGAGTTCAAGCCCCACGTGGGACTCTGCACTGTCAGTGCTTGGGAATCTCTCTCTCCCTCTCTTCCCTCTCTCTCTGTCCCTTCTGCAAAAAAAAAAAAAAAAAAAAGAGTCGCATGCTCTACTGACTGAACCACCCAGGTACCCCTGTGATGGTTAATTTTATATGTCAACTTGCCTGGGCCACAGTGCCTAGAATTTGGTCAAATATTATTCTAGATGTTTCTCTGGGGGAGTTTTCAAGTGAGATTTACATTTAAATTGGGGGACTTTGAATGAAGCAGATTGCCCTCCATAATGTTGGTGGACTTCATCCAATCAGTTGAAGGCTTGAAGAAAACAAAGACTGGGGCGCCTGGGTGGCGCAGTCGGTTAAGCGACCGACTTCAGCCAGGTCACGATCTCGCGGTCCGTGAGTTCGAGCCCCGCGTCAGGCTCTGGGCTGATGGCTCAGAGCCTGGAGCCTGTTTCCGATTCTGTGTCTCCCTCTCTCTCTCTGCCCCTCCCCCATTCATGCTCTGTCTCTCTCTGTCCCAAAAATAAATAAACGTTGAAAAAAAAAGAGAACAAAGACTAATATCCCCTGCTCCGCCTCCAAGCAAGAAAGAATTCTGCAGGTGATGGCCTTTAGAGAGTCTCCAACCTGCCAGCCCACCCTGCTTGGACTTGCCAGCCTCCATAAGTAAATTCCTTAACACAAAAATCTTTTTCTATATATACACATCCTATTGGTTCTGTTTCTCTGCAGGGCACTGACAAATTTTGTTACCAAGAAATCGAATGCTGCTATAGCAGATACCTAAAAACCTAGAAGTGGCTTTGGAGCTGAGTAATGGGTAGAGGCTGGAAGCATTTGGAGGTACATACTAGTAAAAGCTGAGATTGTCTTGAAGAAATTATTGCTAGGAATATGAATGGGAAAGGTGATTCTGGTGAGGTCTCAGACGAAAATGAGGAACATGTTATCGGAAACTGGAAGAAAGTTGGTCCTTGTTGTGAAGTGGCAAAGAACTTGGAGGAATTGTGTTCTAGTGTTTTGTGGAAAGGAGAACTTGTTTGTAATGAAATAGGATATCTAGTTGAGGAGATTTCTAAGTACAGTGTAAAAAGTATGACTTGGTTTCTCGTTGCTGCCGATAGTAACACAGGAGAAGAGAGAGATACATTGAAAGAGGAACCGTCAAGCAAAAAGGAACCAGAAGATGAAGATTTGGAAAATTCTTAGCTTATCCATATTACAGAACAAGAATGCTTGCTCTGGAGAGGACACCAAGGGTATGGCTGAAAGTTCACTTGATACAGAGATCATGAGCACAACGCATGGCTTTAATCTGCCACCTTAGCAGAATCTAGGAATGGAAATGGTGTTATGTCAGTAGACACACGGCCAGCTTGGACTATGGGCACAGAGAGAAGATAAAATGAAGGAAGGTGAAGCCTGCTACGATTCTACAGGACGGGAACAGAACTATCATCATGTGCTGTCTTTCAATAAGAGGTAAGAATGACACTGAAGTTGATTCAGAGATCAGCAGGGTTGCCTCTCCTACCACAGGCCAGAGCACAAGGGCCCTCAAGGAAAGGCTGTCACCTCAGGGGGCCCCGAGGGCAGAGTACTCAGCCAAGGAGGGTTATCTTGAGACTTAAATCTAATGAAACAGATTTCTTGGCTAGGACACCAAAAGCACAGGCAACAAAAGTAAAAAAAAAAGGCAAATGTGTCTCCATCAACCTTAAAAACCTTTGTTCATCAAAGGATACAATGAACAAGGTGAAAAGGCAACCTATGGAACCAAAGAAAATTTTGCAAATCATATATCAGATAAGGGGTTAATATTCAGAATATATGAACAGCTTAACAACAAAATAATTCAAATAACCTGATCAAAAATGGGCAAAGGATTTGAACAGACATTTTTCCAAACATGATATACCGGTGACCAACAGGCACGTGAAAAGATGCTCAACATCGATAATCATCAGAGAAATGCAGATCAAGACAACAATGAGAAATCTCTTCATGCCCGTTACAATGGCCATTATCAAAAACAACAACGACAGAAAATAACAAGTGTTGGTGAGGGCATGAAGAAATTGATACTCTTGGGCACTGTTGGTTGAATTGTAGAGTAGTACCATTGTCATGGAGAACAGCATAGTGGTTCCTCAAAAAAATTAAAAATAGAACTACCCTATGATCCAGCAGGCTCCCTTCTAGGTATATGTCCAAAAGAATGGAAAGCAAAGTCTTAAACAGAAATATCTGCACATTCATGTAGCACACCCAGGACTATTCACTATCGCCAAAGGTGGAAGCAATCCAAGTGTCCATCAAGAGATGAACAGATAAATATCCAAGGAATATATATATATCCAAGGGAATATTATTCATCCTCAAAAAGGAAGGAAATCCTGTCACATCTTACATGAATTGACCTTGAGGCCATAATGCTAAGTGAAATAAACCAGTCATAAAAAGATAAACACTGTAGGATTCTACTTACAGGAGGTATCTAAAGTAATCACAGTCAGGGGCGCCTGGGTGCCTCAGTTGGTTGAGTGTCCATCTGACTCTTGATTTCGGCTCAGGTCATGATCCCAGGGTTGTGGGATCGGGTCCCGTGTTGGGCTCTGCGCTGACCGTGCTGAGCTTGCTTGGGATTCTCTCTCTCCCTCTCTCTCTGCCCCTCCCCCGACTCTCTCTCTCAAAATAAATAAACATTAAAAAAAAATAAAAACCTTAACAATCTCTTTAAAGGCCCTGTCTCGGGGCGCCTGGGTGGCGCAGTCGGTTAAGCGGCCGACTTCAGCCAGGTCACGATCTCGCGGTCCGTGAGTTCGAGCCCCGCGTCGGGCTCTGGGCTGATGGCTCAGAGCCTGGAGCCTGTTTCTGATTCTGTGTCTCTCTCTCTCTCTGCCCCTCCCCCGTTCATGCTCTGTCTCTCTCTGTCCCAAAAAAATAAATAAACTTAAAAAAAAAAAAAAATTTAAAGGCCCTGTCTCCAACTACAGTTACATTCTAAGGTACTAGAGGCTGAGCATTGAGCCCGACTGAGATTCTCTCTTGCTCTGTGTCTCTGCCCCTCTCCCCCAATCGCGCATGCTCTCTCTCTAAAATAATAAACAAATAAATAAACAAAGTAGTCACACTCATGGAAACAGACAGTCGAATGGTTACCTGGAGTTGGAGGGAAAGAGTAAAGGGGAGTTATCCTTTAATGAGTATAAAGTGTTTGCAAGATGAAAAGTTCTGGATATCTGTTTCATAACAATGTGAATACAGTTAACACGTCTGAACTGTACACTTATGGATGGTTAAGATGGTAAAAAACCTTTTTAATGTTTATTTTTGAGAGAGAGAGCACATGTGCATGTGCAAGCGTGAGCAGGAGAGGGGCAGAGAGAGGGGAAAAGAGGATCTGAAGCAGGCTTCAGAGAGCCCGATGCGGCCTCGAACTCACGGACTGTGAGATCATGACCTGAGCCAAAGTCAGACGCTTAACCAACTGAGCCATCCAGGTGCTCTAAGATGGTAAATTTTGTGTTATGTGCTTTTAACCACAATAAGAGAGAAAGAAGAAAGAAAGAAAGAAAGAAAGAAAGAAAGAAAGAAAGAAAGAAAGAAAGAAAGAAAGAAAGAAAGAAAAAAGAGAGGGAGGAAAGAAGGAAGGAAGGAAGGAAGGAAGGAAGGAAGAAAGAACTAATGGGGTTTACCTTGCTAGATTTTAGATTTGTTTGGTAACTCGTCAGCCCTTTTTTCTTTCCAGTTTCTCCCTTTTGGAAACAGAGTGTGCGTCTTACGCCTGTCCCACTACTGTATTTTGGAGGCACGTAACTTGTTTGCTTTCACAGGTTCATAGCTGGAGAGAAATGCTCCCTTAGGATGAATCATACCTCCAGTCTCACCCATATCTGATCCAGATGATACTCAGGTGAGACTCTGCATGTAGACCAGATGCTAGAATTGGATAAGAAAGACTTTTGAGGCTCCTGGGATGGAAATGAATGTATTTTGCTTGTGAGAAGGACATAAATCTGGGGGTGGGGCAGAGGGTGGGTGTTATGGATTGAACTGTGCCTTCCTAAAATGTGTATGTTGAAGCCCTAACCTATAATACCTTAGAGTGTAAGTATAGCTGGAGACAGGACCTTTAAAGAGGTTACTAATTATTTTTAATGTTTATTTATTTTGAGAGAGAGAGGGGGGGAGAGAGAGAGAGTGGGGGAGGGGCAAAAAGGGTTAGAGAGGATCCCAAGCAGGCTCAGCACTGTCAGTGCAGAGCCTGATGCGGGGCTCGATCTCCCAAACTACGAGATCATGACCTGAGTGGAGATCAAGAGTCGACGCATAACTGGCTGAGCCATGCAGAAGCCCTGAAGTTATTAAGTTAAAAAAATTTTTCTTTAATGTTTAATTTGGAGAGAGAGAGAGGAGCAGAGAGAGAGGGAGGTGCAGAATCCTAAGCAGGCTCCAAGCTCTGAGCTGTCCACACAGAGCCCAACGTGGGGCGCGAACTCACAAACTGCGAGATCATGACCTGAGCCAAAGCCGGATGCCCAACCGACTGAGCCACCCAGGCGCCCCAGAAGTTATTAAGTTTAAACGAGGTCATAAAGTTTAAATGAGGTCATAAGAATGGGGCCCTAATCCCAAATCACTGGTGTCCTTGTAGAAAATGAAAGAGACGCTGGGGATGTACGCACAGAGAAAAGGCTATGTGAGAACGCCATGAGACGGCAGTCTACCGCAAGGAAAGAGGTCTTATGAGAAACCAACCCTGCCGGCACCCTGCCCTTGGACTTGCAGCCCCCAGAACTGTGAGAACGCAAATTTCTGTTATTTAATACAACCCAGTCTGTGGTATTTTGTTATAGCAGCAGGCTAATGCGGCAGATAACAAGCAAACAAGTAAATATATAATGTCAGGGAATGATAGGGGAGCACTTTGAAGAACAGTGGAGCAAGGTAAGATAATAAAGAATTGGGGGGTATATAACAATGGGGGAGTTAGGATTGATCTTAGCAGAGATGGCACCTGAACAGAAATCTGAGTGTCAGCAGAGAGCAGGTCTAGGGAGCATTTTCGAGAACAGCATTTCAAACAGAAGGCAATTGAAGTACAAAGACGCCAACAGGAGGGGAAGATGTGTGCTTGGCGTGGGGCCAAAAGCCTGCTCTGCAGGAGTGTTGTGAGCCAGGAGCAAAGAGGGAGGAGAAATGATGTTGGAGGGTTAAGCAGGATTCTGATCATCTAGGCCATTGTAAGCCATGGCAAGGATTCGGGATTCTATTTTAGAGGTGACAGAAAGCCAGGAAGCTACCGGGCCATTTTAGGTTGTAAGGCAAACCAGTGACATTAGTTGATTTATGTTTTCCAAAAGGTCTTTGCTGTCCAATAGAGAAGACGCTGGAGGAGAGCAAGTGTGGAAACACAGAGACCAATTAGGAAGCTGCTGGTCCAGGTAAGAAATGATGGCGACGTGAACTTGGTAGGACCTGAATGAGAGTAGTAGTAGTGGAAGCAGTAAGTGGTTGGATTCGAAAAGATATTTTCAATATAGAACCTATAGGGTTAACCGAGAGTCTAGATGGTGGGTGCGAGCGAAGAAAAGAAGGAGTAGAAAATGATCCTCAGGGTTTTGGTCTGAGCAGCTGCAGGCCTTGGGTTGCTATTTACTTCAATTAGGAAAGCAGAGAGAGGAGCAGGTTTGAGGGGTCAAATCAACAATTTTGTTGTGGGGGCACCCAGGTGACTCGACCGGTTAAGTGTCGGACTCTCGGTTTGGACTCAGGTCATGATCTCACGGTTTCGTGAGTTCAAGCCCCGTGTGGGGCACTGTGCTGACAGTGCAGAGCCTGCTTGGGATTCTCTCTCTCTGCCCCTCCCTACCAACACTGTCTCTGTCTCTCTCCAAATAAATAAACTTACAAAATTTAAAAAAAAAAAAAAAAAAAAAACCAAGAGTTTTGTTTTAGACATGTGAATACTTTAGGATCTGTGCTAACAATAGGACACTCACCTCCTCTTCCATCCTTAGATTCTGTGATTCTAAAGATGCAAAGGATTTGGTTTCTGTCTTCAAGGTCTCATGGAAGGGGATGAAGAGAAACATATAAACCAGTGCTCGGGGGTTTTATTATTCTTATTATTAGTACTTTATTTTAGGGAGAGCAAATTTAAATTTGCAGATAAACAGAGCAGAAGGTACAGAGGGTTCCCATATACCATCCCGACTTTCCTATTATTAACATCTTACATTAGTGGGGTATATTTGTACAACTGATGAACCTACCTTGACACATCAGAGTCACCCAAAGTCCACACTTTACACGGGGGTTCACTCTGGGTCTTGTGCGTTTTGTGGGCTTGGACAAACATGTAATGACATGTATCCGTCGTTACAGTATCATTGTGAATAGTTTCACTGCCCTAAAACACCTGTGTTCTGCCTATTCATCCCTCCTCCCCTCAACACCCCATCCCCTGGCAACCAGGGTTTTGACCGCTTCCATAGTAGTGCCTTTTGTAGAATGTCATACATAGGTATTCCTCGGTGAGGTTGCAGGTTTGGTTCCAGACCACTGCAATAAAGCAAATATCATAATAAATCAAGTCAAGTGATTTTTTTTTTTTTTTTGGTTTCCCAGGGCACAAAAAGTTATATGTACACTATACTACAGTCTATCGAATGTGCAATAACACTGTGTCTGATAAAAAAAAAAAAACAACAATGTACATACATTAATTTAAAGTATTTTATTGCTTGGGCTCCTGGGTGGCTCAGTCAGTTGAGCAATCGACTTTGGCTCATGTCATGGTCTTGCGGTTCATGAGTTCAGGCCCCGCGTCGGGCTCTGTGCTGACAGAGCACATAATAAAAGCATTAAAAAATTATCTTATTGCTTAAACATGCTGACCATTATGTGAGCTTTCAGCAAGTGGCAATCTTTTTGTTGATGGAGAGTGTTGCCTTGATGTTGATGACTGATGACTGATCAGGGTGGTGGTTGCTAAGGAATGGAGTGATAGTGGCAACTTCTTCTTCTTCTTCCTCTTCTTCTTCTTCTTCTTCTTTTTTTCTTCTTAAGTAAGTTGTAGGCCCAACGTGGGCCTTGAGCTTAAAAACCCCAGATCAAGAGTTGCATGCTCTAGTAACTGTATCAGCTGGGCACCCGTGGCAATTTCTTTAAAATTTTTTTTAATGTTTGTCTATTATTGAGAGACAGAGAGACACAGAGAGTGAGCAGGGGAGGGGCAGAGAGAGGGGGAAACACAGAATCCGAAGCAGGTTCCGGGCTCTGAGCTGTCAGCACAGAGCCCCACGCAGGGCTTGAACTCACAAACTGCGAGATCATCACCTGAGCCGAACTCGGTTGCTTAACCAACTGAGCCACCCAGGCGCCCCCCATGCCCCATGGCAATTTCTTAAAATAAGAAAACAGTGAAGTTGGCCCCATTGATTGACTCCTTTCACAAATGATTACTCTGTAGCATGTGATGCCGTTTGATAACATTTCACCCACAGTACAACTTCTTGCAAAATTGGAAGCAGTCCTCTCACACCCTGCTGCTGCTCTATCAGCTAAGATATATGTAATGTTCGAAATCGGTTGGGGTCATTTCGACAGGCTTCACAGCGTCTTCAACAGGAGTAGATGCCATCTCGAGAAACCACTTGCTTTGCTCATCCGCGAGAGGCGATTCCTCATCTGTTCAAGGTTTATCTTGAGATTCCAGCAACTCGGTCGCAGCTTCAGGCTCCACTTCCGATTGTAGTTCTCTTGCTGTTTCTACCACATCTGCAGGTCCTTCTCCACCGAGGGCTTGAACTTCTCAAAGTCATCAAAGAGATTTGGAATCACCATCTTCCAAACTCCTGTTCACGTTGATACTTCAACCCTTTCCCACGAATCACAGATGTTCTTAATGGCATCTAAAATGGTAAATCCCTTCCAGAAGGTTTTCAATTTACTTTGCCAAGATCTATCAGAGGAATCACTGTCTATGCTAGCTAAAGCCTCATGAAATGTATTTCTTTTTTCTTTTACTTTTTTTAACGTTTATTCATTTTTGAAAGACAGAGAGAGACAGAGCACAGGCAGGGGTGGGGTGGAGAGAGAGGGGGACACAGAATCTGAAGCAGGCTCCAGGCTCTGAGCTGCCAGCACAGAGCCTGACGCGGGGCTCGAACCCAAAAACCATGAGATCATGACCTGAGCCGAAGTCGGACGCTTAACCGACTGAGCCACCCAGGTGCCCCACAAAGTGTATTTCTTAAATAAGACTTGAAGTAGACTTATTCTTCGATCCGCACCCTGCACAATGGCTGTTAGCAGGCGTGAAAACAGCAGGAATCTCGTCGGACATCTCCATCGGAGCTCCTGGGTGACCGGGTGCGTTGTCAATGAGCAGTCATGTTTGGAAAGAAGACTTTTCTTCTGAGCAGTAGGTCTCAGCGGTGGGTAAAATATTCAGCAAACCATGTCGTAAACAGATGTGCTGTCGTCCAGGCTTTGCTCTTCCAGTTACAGAGCACAGGCAGAGTCGAGTTAGCAGAATTCTTGAGGCCCTGGGACTTCCGGAACGTGCACGAGCACTGGCTTCAGCTTAGTCACCAGCCGCATTACCCCTTGCAAGAGAGTCAGCCTGTCCTCTGAAACTTCGAGGCCAGGCACCGACTTCTCCTCTGTAGCTATGAAAGTCCTAGGTGGCGTCTTCTCTCCGTAGAAGGCCGTCTGTCTACACGGAAGATCGGTTGGCTGTTTAGCGTGGCCGCCTTCATTAATTATCCGAGCTAGATCTTCTGGACAAGTTGCTGCAGCTTCTACGTTAGCACTTGCTGCCTCACCGTGCACTTTTATGTTATAGAGGTGACTTCTTCCCCTAAACCCCCTGAACCAACCTCTGCCGGCTTCACACTCTTCTTCTGCGGCTTCCTCGTCTCTCTCAGCCTTCATCGGATTTTTATTTTATTTTTAAAATAAAGTTTATTTATTTACTTTGAGGGAAAGGGGAAGAGAGAGTGGGAGAGGGGCAGACAGAGGGAGAGAGGGAGAATCCCAAGCAGGCCGGCACAGCCTGACGCGGGGCTCAAACCCACAAACTGTGAGATCGTGACCTGAGGCAAAACCAAGAGTCGGAGGCTTAACCAACTGAGCCACCCAGGTGCCCCTCAGCTTCATAGAATTGAAAAGACTTAGAGCCTTGCTCGGGGTTAGACTTTGGCTCAAGGAATGTTGTGGCTGCTTTGATCATCTATCCAGACCAGTGAAATGTTTTCCACATAAGTAATTAGGCTGTTTCATTTTCTCATCATTTCTGTGTTCACTGGCATAGTGCTTTCATTTCCTTCATAAGTTTTCCTTTGCACTCGTAACTTGACTAACGGGTACAAGAGACCCGGCTTTCACACTCGCTGGGTTTTTGACATGCCTTCCTCACTAACCATAATCATTTCTAGCTTTTTTTTCCGTAATTTTTTTAATGTACATTTATTTTTGAGACAGAGAGAAACAGAGTGTGAGTGGGGAAGGGGCAGAGAGAGAGGGAGACACAGATTCGGAAGCAGGCTCCGAGCTGTCAGCACAGAGCCCGATGCAAGGCTTGAACCCACGAACCATGAGATCACAACCTGAGCCGAAGTCAGATGCTTAACCGACTGAGCCACCCAGTCACCCCATGATAGCTCATTTCTTTATCTCTTCTTCTATAGGTCATATCTTTTTTTAGCCCTGTATAATATTCCATTGGATGCACCACAGCTTGTTATCTGTTTACCTACTGAAGGGCATCTTGGTTGCTTCCAAGTTTTGGCAATTATAAACAAAGCTGCTATAAACATTCATGCACAAGTTTGTGTGTGGATGTAGACTTTATTTCCAAATTTGAATTTAAATTCTAGTTAGTTAACATAGAGTATAATACTGGTTTCCGTTGCAGAATTTAGTGATTCATCACTTACATACAACACCCAGGGCTCATGACAACAAGTGCCCTCCTTCATGCCCATCCCTACTTAGCCCATCCCCCCTCTAACTCCCCTCCAACAACCCTCAGTTCTCTATCAAGTGGATGTAGATTTTCAATTCATTTGGGTAAATACCAAGGAGTGTGACTGCTGGATCATAAGCAAGTATTTTAAATGTCAACTTCTGTACAATCGCTAATAGAAAACATAGACTTCTGCTTGCAAGAAGCAAAGAGCTTTGTTTAAGTTCCTTAAGTTTACTCTGGCAGTGCTCTAAAACCATAAATGTCTTTTGTTCTCTTTGTGGCTATTAGTCTGACACTATCACCAGGATACCCCTGCCTGGCTCATTTACAGGAAGACAGCTACTAAACACTGATAAGTGAAGTGTTCACACTGACTCATATCCACCCTTTGAAAAAACCATAACCAAGGGCCAATCTGTGGATGGCGTAAGGAGCAATGCCACTACAGTTCGATGCAGTGTTTCATAA